GCAGAGACAACAAAGAGTTATGGGTGATTTAAGAAATATTGGGAGAGCCATGTCACCCCATAACTCTATGTTATCTCCACCACTAGCTAAAAGTAATAGTCCATTAGAACTCTATCGGAATATTGTATCCAATTCATCCCGTTAGAGTTTCTAACTACGTTTCAGGGGGTGAGCGTAATTATCGATACCATATGGACCTTAAAATTATTTAAGTATACCTTAGGGTTGTGGGTGTAATTTACCCTATTTTATTTATCAATTGTTTTTAGGTTAAATTACAAAAAAGAAAAATCTCTTACGTTTGGATAATTACGATCATCCACTCAATTATGGATTGTTTTACGTGTCTATCTTTACGATGTTAAATTTATCTACTAGAAAATGGGGGTTTCGTAAAATAATATATAGTTGATGGATGGTTGTAATTACTCAAATATAAGAGGTTTTTTCGTAATTTAATCTTACTTGAAAACTCACGATCTCATGAGATTAAGTCCAAACTTAGATTTTTCGAATTTGTGCTCGACTTTGTCGAGCGGACTCACCTCATTTACACCAGTACCGTTTTTATTGACTCCCTACTTGACTTCTATATACGAACAAGACAAAAAATATGCATAAGAACACGAAAAAAAGACTTCCGCACAATCCATTTCCATCCTCAAATGTCTGAATTAATCAGTACAAAAAAAATGATGTCACCTTTCCTATTATGCTTTTCCATGCATATTTCTCTCTCTTTGATTATTAAAAGTTAAAAATTAAAAAAAAAAATTAAAAAATCGAACGAATATATCATCTTATGATCTTAAACTAACAAAACCCTTCCAAGAAGAAAAAAAATTAGGAATCAGAAATATTAAACTGTTTTTCAAGTTAGTTTATGCTCCCATTGTTGTTGTTTCCACCATTAGCGCCGCTACTATCGCCGTTATTCCCGTAGGGCCCGGTCATAAGAGACGAAATTGCCGCCGCTAGAGCCGCCGTGAAATTCGGATCGGTCGCGAGAGCATTTACCGTATCGTTCAGTTGGAAAGGTGGCGGTAGTTGATTATTACTAGTGCCTTGATGATCTTGTGACGACATTTGTAGCCCCGAAAACTTGGACTGATTGTACGCGGCCTGGCCGAAGATTTGGGGCAAAAGGGCAGCTGCATTAGGGTTAATATTGGCAATGTTGTTTAGTAGGGGGTTGAGGAATGGGAGGGTGAATTGGTTGGAGGGTATTTTGGGGAATTGTAGAGGGTTCGCGGGGGATTGTGTTAGGTCTAGTGTGATAGTTGGGAACGGGGCTGAGGCCGAGATCGTGGCCATGTTTGAGGAGCAAGGAAGTTGCGGGAGGAGCGTTCTTGCTAGGAAATTGTTCGAGTTCATTAAGCCGTCGGCGCTTGGCATTGAACCGGAGAGTAGCATTTTGGCGGCGGATGATGTCGTGGAGGCCATTGCCATGGCGGCGGGCGGCAACGGGTGGTTGTGGTTGCCCTCGTAGGTTGTTGTCAGGATTGTTCGGTCGTCTGCGCATCTTTGGACCTGCGTTTTGTGTGTATTTAATGAAGATAAGTAAGTCGGAGGAATGGGTATTAAACGGTTTATTCTATGCTACACCGGGTCGATCTTTACCATTTATACACACAAACACACACACACATGGTATGTGTAGATCAACGGCAAAATTCACCCGGTGTAATATTCACCTGGTGTAGCATAGAAATAACCGTATTACACTATGATCACGGACTTAATGCATAGTATTATTGAAAGTTGAAACTGAAATGGCATTTATCACATCCCATACATGTAGGGTCGTGGTCGCCAAAAGAACGCACCGATTCATTTTTTTTCTTTATGAGATCCATCGTCAAAGAAAAAACTAGGGATCTATGTAACATTTATAAGATCCACCCCGTATCCATAAGATTCAAAAATTAATTCAAGATTAAGAATTCAATTCCGCGACGTTTAGATTTCTATTCTTATTGATTCCACGTGTTGGATCTTATTGATTCTAACAATACGTATATTTGGCATGTAGAACTATGATACTAAATTGAAAATAGAATCCGAACGAACCTTGTTATTATACAAGATTTAAGAGAGACAAAGAAAACATACTTGCTTTCGAACGGGGCACCCGGCGGCCATGGTGCAACGGTAGTACGCTCGAGGGCATGGGTTTCCTTTCGCCATCTTCTGCCCATACTTTCGCCATTGGCATCCATCCGTGATCTATTCATCATCATCCAAACACCCAAGAAAAAAAATTAAACACTACACGCAAATAAAAGAAAAAATCAACATGATCGATGAACTCTCTAATTCCAAAGTAATACATATTGATGTAAAATAATAATACCATGGGAGCCTCGGATCTAGCACGAACCGAAACACGAGCCTTCCTCATAGTTGCCTCGGTAGCTTGATCGACAGTACTATTTCTAGGAGGGTGGCTAAGCTTCGGAACCTTATTATTTTCGGGAGATTGTTCGTCACCGACATCCTTGTCAGTGGGTGTCGGGGGAGGTGGGTCCCGCCTCTCGGGCGAAGTTAACAACACGTCATCGTTCGTTCCGAATCCAAGATCCATGAACTGCCTAGGAACCAACACTCCATTATTATTATTATTATGAATCCCGTTGCCGTTTTTTATAACATGTTCCTCGTCGTCTTGATTTTGATGACGATCGGTTTGGTGTTGATTTTGCATAATCGTCATTAGCTGCATTTGAAGGCCGGTGTAATCGTTCTCCACTTGATTTAGCATCTCTTTTAAATGCCGATTCTCCGAATTCATCCTTTCCATTTCTGCTTGTAGAAAAATCATCTGCCACCATACATATATATATATGCCCACAAATCTTAATCCATATTATTATTAATTAATATTTATAAATCTTTTTTTCTTAGAAATATATCTAATTAATTAATTAATTAATTACCTCACTATTTGATCTTTTATTTTCCGAGTTCGAAGATGTTTGCTTGTCGACTATGGACTCATCACTACCAGTATTCGCCGGAGTAAGAAGATGTAATCCAGTCTAAAATCAAAATTAAAATTAAAAATAAAATTACGATCAAGTATTAAAAAGAAAAAAATTAAAACCGAAATTAATTAGAAATTATGAAATTATAAACATACGTTTACATTGAAATTCAAGACTGAATTACTCCCATGCAAAGTCCTACCATCTTCTCCGGCATCACCTCCGGCGGCGCCGCCGCCGCCCAATTTCTTATCGGAGAAGAAATCCATTTCATCCATGACTTTCCGTTTCCCGTTGTCAGGCGGCGGCAGACAATCGCCGCCGTCGTCGTCGTCGTCATCATCGCGCAAGGCGCGGCAGCTGAGACCGAACTGAATTGTGTGAGGCGGCGGCGGCGGCGGCGGTGGTGCGCCGTCCATGGAAAACGACGTCGTCGTGTACGGGGGTTTGAATTTGGGGTTACCGGAGTGGGGTTTTCTGCGAAGGAAAGAGTGAGATTGAACTGTGATCTGGATCAAAGGAGAGTCCACTTACCCATATATATATAGATATATATATATATATATATATATATATATATATATATATATATATATATATATATATATATATATATAGAAATTTAATTTTGATAGAACCGATAGAGAAAAAATGGCGTGGCGCTAATTGAGAGAGCAAATGACTCGGCTATTGAGAAGGTGAGTTGAGACTGAATAATTAAGGAAGAAATGGGGAAAAAAAATGGTGGCGTGTAATCTAGATTTTGTTGAGGAGAGAGATTGAAGGAATTTTGATTTATTTGGACTTTTTTTTTTCTCTAGAAAAAGAATTAAAGAATTAAGTCTACAATTTAATTTATTTTATTTTTTGGTCCTTTTAGTTTGTACTATTTTTCACTAATATTGTTTTGGTTTATTGCAATTCAGCGTCTGTGGTGCGGCTGTGTTTGGAACGATTTTGGAAGTTATTTTCATTTTATTTTGACATAATGAAAGTATATATGTTAAATTTATGATTTGAGTTTAGACAAAATACACTGTAACAGTCCAATCGTGATTAAAATTGATTGAAGAAATGTATTTTAGAAAAAGAATTTGCAAAATAGAGTGATATTTGTTTGTTTTTTAATGAAGACGTTTTTTTTTTACTACTGCGGTCAAATCTCTTTAGTGGAGAAGGCAAATAGTGTCTGGATGAAAGATAAACTGTAGAAGTTGTTTTGGGTTTATATTTTTGTGAAAAGATAAGCAAACACGAATTCCCTTCCGAGAAATAATAAAAGTGGAACGAAAACGTAACCAAATTACTAGAATCATTTCCGTGTTATTTTTATGTATGAAAAAACGTCCGTGTGCTGAAAAAAATGAACATTTTGTTAATATTAGAAATGTGGGGTTTTTTTAGCAATTCGATATAACACAGTGGTGTTCAGATGCAAAACTGAATAATATTTAGGTATTAATTAAGTCGTCTTATGGGATATAAATCTCATACTTGGTCTTGTGACTATAGTCAAAACTTGGAAATATATGGCAAATATGATTACACTTGTCTACTAATCTTTCTTTGAGTTTATTTTCTTGTTATTTCTTTGTGGTTTTGAAGTGATGGTGTGTTAACCATGTGTTTTTGATATCATTGAATAAGTATTGCCACGTTTTATGGGATGTAATCATTTTTAAATCATTCTAGAAAATAATATGTGACAAGTCATTTTCCACTATAATATTTATGGTTTTTTTTTTTTCATTTTCTTTAACTAAAAAAGCTAATAATTTATTTGAACTAAATTATAAAATAATTTGGTAGTAGTAAATATTCTATTACTTACTTAAGCTTGTGTATGTTGTTTATGCAAGTGTAATTTGTATGTTTATATGTTAATGACAATATGCAGGGCGAAAATCGGATGGATTGGATCCGGATTCCATTAGAAACCAATTTATTCGAAAGTAAAAAACTAATTTCAATTTATTTTCTCCGAAAACAATCAAAAAATCCAAAATTGAAAAATCGGAATGAATTTCTTTTTTCTTTCTAGAAATAGAATTTTTGTTCGAAATCTGCGGAAATCGAAATTATATATTTTTTTTATTCGCCTATAATGTGAATATATGTATATAATAATATTGATAATACAACTATGTATTTTTTTTTTAGAAGAAAATGGAATATTCGTAATTATTTCCAAAAATTAATCGCATCGAAAATCAGAATCTCGCATATATTCTGTTTACGATCCAAAAAAAAATCAGAAATCGAAATTTTTTAAAATTCAAAATGAAAAATTCTATGAGAAAAATCGAAATTTTTTGAATCAAAATCGGCAAATTTCAAAAATTTCGTTTTCTTTTTTCACCCTTAATAATAATCAATTATCCAAATCACAAAAATCGAAGTTTCGTGTCAATTTCCACCCCCTAACAACAATCAACGATCCAAATAACATGCTTGAACTTCTTCTACGGTTGAATGAGTCTAAATTGTTAAAATGTATTATGTTTTTGATAAAGAAAAATATATGGAAATTGCAAATTAAAGAGGAGAGAAAATAAAGGAAAATGTTTTCGTCAAAGTCAAGACCTATGGTGCATGTTCGATCAACGATGTCTATATTTTGGGAATGGTCCAATTGTGGGTCCATATTGAAATTTGGGTAAACTTTGGGGAGCAAGTTGCAAATTGACATTGATTGCGTTCATGGGATTTTGTCAAAGGTTCCCAAATTCGTCGCATCGTCAAGCACGGCACTCTCTCTTAATTTAGAGTAACATTAAAAAATAGTTTATAAGATGTTTAAGAGCGAAGTTGAAATAAGATTTTTTTTTAAATATATATACTCCATTTTTTTAAGATCTTATAGTGAGTAAAAGTAGATTATAAGATCATTATCCGAACACTTTAAAAATTAATTCTAAAAATAAGTCGTAACAGATTATCACCTTTTCAAACATTTTAAAACAGCTTACCAGAAGTACGAGTTTATCAACTTTTTAGTTAAAATAAATTTAGTCAAATGGGCCCATAATCTCTTCGTCTCATGTTTTAGAATAAACTCCTTTAAAGTTTAATTTTTTTTTGGAAGAAAAATAGCAGCTTATATTATAGTCGCCAAATCGTCGGGAAGATCAAGAGCTTCCAAAAAGTCGACATCAAATAAATGAAAATGCGCTTATAGGAGAAATATATTTGGAGAAAAGAGAGAATGATATCTCTTACGTATATTACTCATATATATAGATCTCCACATGTTTCGTACAAGAGTGTTGAATAGAATTGCTCGATAGGTAGACGGCACTGACGTTGTCACAATAGACAATAGTGGCTTTCGAAAGTGGGCAGAGCAACTCAGAAAGTAGGTTGCGTAACCAAGTCGTTTCGGCGACGGCATTTGCGACAGCTCGGTATTCGGCCTCCGCACTCGATCGAGAGGTAGTGACCTGTCGTTTGGATGACCAAGAAATGAGGTTGTTGCCGAGGAAAACACAATATCCCGATGTCGAACGACGAGTGTCAGGGCAGCCACCCCAATCGGCGTCGGAGTAAGCAATAAGGGAGAGGTCCGGATTAGGGGAGAGCTGAAGGCCGTGATCGAGAGTCCCACGAATGTAGCGAAGAATACGCTTAAGAGCAGCCATATGAGGTTCCCTCGGATCATGCATGAATAGACATATTTGTTGCACAGCATAGCAGATGTCAGGACGAGTAAACGTGAGGTATTGCAGTGCACCGGCAAGGCTGCGATAAAGAGTAGGGTCAGCAACGGGGGGTCCAGTGGTCGAGGACAACTTGCTCTTTGTGTCAGCCGGCGTAAGACAAGGGTTGCAGGAAGCCATGTGTGCACGCTCTAGGATCTCGTCGGCGTACTTGCGTTGAGAAAGAAATAGCCCATTCGACGAGCGAGTGACTGAGATGCCGAGAAAGTAGTGAAGATCGCCAAGATCCTTCATTGCGAACTCTTGATTAAGTGCGGCGATGATGGAGCGGAGCAATTCAGGTGTGGAGGCCGTAAGTACAATGTCATCGACATACAGCAGAAGGTAGGCGCATGAACTGTTGCGACAGTCGCGTGAACTGCTGCGATAGTCGCGTGAACTGTTGCGACAGTACACAAAGAGTGAAGTGTCGGACTTGCATTCTCTGAACCCCATGGTAGTAATGTGAGATGCAAAACGCTTGTACCAAGCACGTGGTGCCTGCTTGAGACCGTAGAGTGCTTTGTTGAGACGACACACGTGAGTGGGGCGAGATGGATCGACGAATCCGGGAGGTTGCTCGCAGTAGACAGTTTCAGAGAGATTGCCATGTAGGAAGGCATTTTTCACATCAAGCTGGTGGATTGGCCATGATCGCGAGAGAGCAATACTGAGAACTGTTCGAACAGTGGCTGGTTTGACAACTGGGCTGAAAGTCTCGTCAAAGTCGATGCCAGCCTGCTGGTGAAACCCACGAACAACCCACCGTGCTTTGTATCGCTCGAGGGAGCCATCAGACTTGAGTTTCTGTTTATATATCCACTTACCAGAAATAACATTAGTGGACGGGGGGCGGGGCACAACATTCCAAGTATTGTTTTTAATTAAAGCAGTATATTCCTCAATCATGGCGTTTCGCCAGTTTTGGTCAAGAAGAGCTTGGCGATAGTTGGTGGGAATGGGAGAGGTAGAGGATGCAACGAGAGAGAAAGGGACTTTGGGTTTGTGGATGCCCACTTTACTGCGAGTCACCATAGGGTGAGCAAGGGGAGGTGGGGGAGGTGGGGGAGTAGGAGAAGGAAATGTGGAAGTATGAGAAGGGGTTGTGAGGTGGTTGTGGTCGACAGGTGCTGCTGCAGGGGAAATAGGTGTTGGTTGTGTTAGAGGACTGTTGGACGGACTGTTGGAACAGGATGGTTCACTATTGGAACAGTTGGAGGAACTGTTGCAACAGTTAGACGAAGTCTGAGGGATGAGGAACAAGGAGGGTGTGTTTTCGTCCAAGGCAGAAGGGGGAAGTGTGTTTTTGGGGGGAGTGGACTCAGCAAAAGGAAAGTTAGTTTCGTCGAAGATAACATGACGAGAAATTATGATTCGGCCAGTGGACCTATCAAGGCAACGATAGCCTTTGTGAGAGGAAGGGTGACCGAGATAGACACAAGGAGTAGAACAGGGGGCGAGTTTATGTGGTGTGGTGGCGGTGAGGTTGGGATAACGGAGACAGCCGAATACTCGAAGATGAGAGTATGTAGGTTTGATGAGGTAAAGGGCTTCGTGAGGAGTCCGGTTTTGTGTGGATTTGGTAGGTAAGATATTGAGTAGGTGTGTGGCCATATGAAGGGCTTCGACCCAATAAGTAGGAGGAAGATGGGCTTGAAAGATGAGGGATCGAATCATGTTAGTTATAGTGCGGATCATTCGTTGTGCGTGTCCGTTTTGAGGGGAGGTGTGGGGACACGAAAAACGATTTAGGATGCCGTGTTTAGTAAAGTAGTTTTGAAAATCCGCATTTTTTAATTCACGACCATTATCACTTTGTAAGGCTTTCAGGGGATGTTG